AGCAAGTTCCTGGGATGAGAATCTGCCTCTGAAAGCAATGATGGATATAGGGTATGAAGTCAGCCTGGATGGCTAAATGCTCAGCACAGAAGTGTAATTATCTTTTTAGCATCTGCATCTGTGTATCAGTGTTTTGCAGCATGTATCTTTGTACAGATGTTTCTTTAAGTACAGTACTAATTATGAACAGAAGAACCACCACAAAATCTGCACAAGCGTCACAGACCTGAGAAACCATTGCAGACCCAAACCAGAGTGCAGATGGTGAAATGGTCTTGTGTGGGAGGTAACTATTTCCACATTAACGTTATTCAATCACAGTGGCCCATTTTCACATAGCTTGCTGAACTTCAGAAAGTTTTCACAAAGGTTAAGGTTTGACATTTTGAGATGGAGTAGCTTAGGCCTCTATCCTCTAGTGAGAACTACAATAAATAATCAATAATAGAAGAGAAACACACACTCTTACTGCATCCCTTTCCAGGGTGGAAGCACTGAAAACATGCTTTTTTGACACAAATGCTTATTCTGAGGTTTTCATTACCAGGATTTCCAGTAAAATAGCCATAGGCAAGAAAGCACTTAATCTGACTATTACATTAGGCTTCCTGAAACCACATGTAGGTGCAATTGTGAGTGCAGGCATAAGAAAATGTCCTTAAACTTCTGATGGACAAACAGAATTATATTTCTATCAATATGTAAGGTTGTGATGAGGTCCTACAGAAAGGGTAGCATTTAGTGTATTAGGGGTTTTTTTATAACTAGTGTGATTTCTGTTAGTTTATGCAAAGCACGCCTCTAAGAATGAAACAGATTGAGACAGGGCATAACGTCTTGTCACAGCAGCATAATTCATGACTGCACTCAGAAATCACTTCTCTCTTTAGATTTAGGTATCAGTTCAGAGATTACCTCTAGAAAGCAGTATTCTCTCTTAAACACTCAATTCTACAGATCTCTAATTATGTGTTAAACTAATTTATTACTGTTGCGCATCTCTTATTTCTGCACTACCAGACAGATACGGCACAACATTTTCAGTGTTACTGCCATCACAGAGCACTAAATCTGTAGGGGTTTGCCCACTTCTTTATCTGAACCCACCCTTCTCACCCTGGTACTCGCTGTTTTGAGGCTGTGAGAGGAGGAGGAGAACCCTGGAACCCTGCCTGCTCTCATTTCTGTCTCCTGGATGCAATGACCAACTTTAGGGAATTTAGCTGCAGAGTCCTTGGAAGTCCCCACCAAATGTGTATAAATTGTGGGTTCACAGCTTGTAGTAGGAGTTGCAGGTTGGACAGAGGTACAACTCCACTACTAAACCCAGTATCTTTGCTACAGGCTTGATCCCAATGTCCTGGAGCAGTGAAAAGAGCAGCAGAGATACCAAACTGTTGCCCATCACCAACATGGCAGGATTCAAAAGTTCTCTGGTCTGTGTGCCAGTCTCAGGTCAGAAGCTGAAGCCACCTGCACACTGATTCCCTGGTATGTAGCTGAGAGTCACTGCTTTGCTCTACAAACCCAGCAGTGTCACCCAGACAGCACTCACAGGCATGCAGTTACAAGAATGACATAGAGGGAACTGGCAGGGTCAATAAGCAAAGTCCATATTCCCCTGTGTCCCTAGGTGTAGGTCCCATTTCCCTGTCACACACCTTGAGGTGAAGAAACAAAGTATCCATTTCAGAACAGCAGCTTGAGAGGGATGAACTCTTTCAGGTGCTTTTCCCTCCTTGGGACAAAGCAGTTCTGCAGGTACCCTGCAAACACGAGTGTGTAGAGAGGGGAAGATCTCCCACCCAACATACCACGAGAGGGAACTGCAGCTGCATAAAGAGGAGGCCACAGAGCCAGAGAAACATTTTCCCAAGACTTCATTTTCAAAGATTGCTGAAACACAGTGGCTGCCTGTAAACCCAAGCAAACAGCAACATAACAGGTCAAGCACTGACATAAGAGAGTTCAACCTAGTTTGGTAATCTGGCAGTTACAGGCAAATGAGAACGGGGACCATAACATCAGCTGTTAGGCAACTTTTAAACACACGGTGTTTCCTATGGTCACAACATAGAGCAATCCCAGAAACAAGTTCTCTTAGCACATAATGACTGGTAAGTCACCCAAAAGACACAAAAAACCCCAGCACTAAATAATTCAGCTTTTTAAATGCAACAAAAAGACTAAAAAAAAAAAAAAAAAAAAAAAAAAAAAAAAAAAAAAAAAAAAAAAAAAAAAAAAAAAAAAAAAAAAAAAAAAAAAAAAAAAAAAAAAAAAAAAAAAAAAAAAAAAAAAAAAA